AAAACACAACCTGTATGGATACTAGAACAGTGCACCACATCCTCTGTCCTACAACACTTGTGTTATAACAGCTGGTCAGTCATAGTAAGAAGAGTGTGTGTACCTTTCGGATGGGATAACCACTTTGACTACGGCTTCGGACAGAGTCTGTTTGTGAAGTCAAATCAAATTGTGAAAGTATTAAAACATGAGTACTTGTACAGATGAAACACTGCAGGATACATACAGCATAGAAAACTATGATAGCATTCATTGGGGGGGAGGATGACACAGCTTCATTACTCCAGCAAATCATTCTAAAATCCAAAACCATCTAAACTACCTGAACTAATTTATCTACAAGATTTAAGAGCTAGAAAACTGTGTTAACACTTTGAATACATCTGTTACTTCTTACACAAGTACATGGGAGGCTTGTCCTTCCTTAAATTTCACATTATAGTACAGACTATAATTCTTGCTCTAGTACAACTACACCAGCCCAGTGCACAGCAACAGGTTTACCTTGTCAAGCTCCCCTTTGGTCATGGCCAGTGGCTTGGTGAAATCATTGCGGAAGCGATCCCTTGGCTGAGCGTTGAAAGGCAAACCAGACGGGGGTGGCAGCGTGGCCCTCACTCCCACCGGTGTGTAGAGAGGCTGAGGAGGAATGCGAGCCGGTTTTCCCCATCCCAGCTTCATTTCAAAACCCATAATCACTTTACCTACAATACAAAACATAATCCAAGAATCGTGGGCAGTGAGGAACAGAATATTATAAAAGCAATGGTGATTAGATAAACCTGGAGTTGAGAATGTAAATCAACTGTACCATCAAGTGCAGCCAAGGCTCTTTCTGCATCTTTCCGCGTCATGAAAGCCACAAAGGCTCTGTTAGAGGTCCTGCAGCGCTCCTCGTCTGTCCGGGGCCACATGATCTTCACACTGGCCAGGGGACCATATTTACCAAACTCTTTGCAGAGCATCTCCTCGTTCATCTGAACAGCAATTAAAGTGAACAGTGAGAAATGTACATGTGCGCTGTGTCGAGCCAATCAAAATCAGTGTGCTGCGTTACCTTTGGACTAATGCAGCCGATGTAGAGGTTAGTGGTGGTCGGCACTGTTAGGTCATCGTATAATGCTGCAGGAAGAAACAGGATTGAGCTTTGTTATTTCTTAGCAACACTTTCTTGTTACAAATAAAACATTCATATTGAAGAGAACTTTTACTTGATCGGCCTGCTAATGGTATGTCTAGATCGTATCCTCGTCCTCCTGCCCCAGGGTCATTTTTCTTCCTTTTGTGTCTTTCTTCACGCTCTTCTTGTATTCTGCAGGGTTTTTTCACACATATAAACTGGCTTATATATGCCAAAAAAGATAATTACAATGAAACATTGTCAAGTGCATTTCTAAAAAAACAAACAAAAAAACTACTTACAGCTTAAGTTCTTCTTTGAAGAGTTCGAGGTTACTCTTCTTCTTTTCTTCTGTCTTTCTTTTAAATGTCTGTTAATTAAATAGGCAGCAACTGGGGCTATTAGAACAATTGTCTGATTGTACAATGACAGTGACCAAAGTGAAAGGCCATGAGAAACATTTATATACATGTAAATAGTATGTTTGCATTGATATTGAATTCGGTTTTTGAGCACAAACTTACAGACTTTTTGCTTTCAGCAGATGATACGGGAGAGACATGCTGGGACACAGGAGCAAACTTCGTAGAAGGTCGATACAGCTTATTTTTCTTGACCTCTGCTGCTTCCTCCTCTGCAAAAATGTATAGCAATGCCTGAAATAATGACTATCCAACAATCTGTTACCTGTCCAAACTGTAATTTGGTTTTATTAGAAAACAGCCGAGTCTCTGTTCTTGGCACTGTGCTATAGTTAGTAGACAGACTGGCCTTGGTTCCAAGAAGAACTAATATGAACTGGTTTAATGTCAGTCCTGCTGCTGTGTTTGCAGTTAATATTTAAATCTCAGGTAGGTCTTTATGTGTAAAAGTAAGGGCTATAATTTTTAAATGAACTGACTGCTGTGCTGACCACGGGTCACCTGAGTGGATACATTTTAATAAAACATCCAAAAGATAAGGGCATTAAAAAAAAAAACTATTTCACTGCTGAGTCAGCCTGATATCTTTCAATAATTTCTTCCAGTTCTCTAAAAGACACCCAGGCCATTCATTGGTCCACACATCCCAGGAAGAAAAAGATGGACAGAACTGTGATGTAGCTAGACTGAAAGTTGCAAAGTTTATCTGCTGACCTTGAGTTGCATTCACGATACCCCCCCGGACAAAAGTTTTCACTTTCACGCTTTTGTTACTGGTCTCAAATGACGCCACAAATTCTTCAAAAACTTCTGCTGCTTTTTCTTCCTCCTAGAAAATCACACAGTAACATGTACAGCATATATATTTTATGACTGGTGACTACTAGTCTGAATTTATTTCACAGATTTAATTTTATTGTGAAAAAAGTACACGTTACAAAATGTAATAGTATAAAACCAAAGGTGACTAAATCATATCCAGTATGGTAGCATCCCCCTTACCTTTTTCTTGAGCTCTTCTTGTTCTTTCTTTGTGAGTGTCTTGACTGGAGTGACAGGTTTTCCTTTTCTATCTGCCATGCTCACACTGCAATAATAATAATAAATAGTAAATAAATCAAATGAAAATGTTATTCTGTTTTGTATAAGTTAAGTAATTTAGTAATTAGAGTAATTAGATGTTTAAAATAAAAGAATGACAGTGACATCTCTAGCTCAAAACAGCTTTTCTACTGGTAGTTAAATGAGGAATCATAAATACCATGGCAGGTTACAAATATCAACACACCCCCATGCGACGATAGAAATGGGGGTATAGAGCAGAAACCCCCCCACAAATATTAAACTTTTCCCCCACGACACAATGCAAAACCTAGTACTTGACCAAAACATATGGTCAGAGAGGTGGAAGCTTGACGTTAATAAATCAAGTTAGCTCCAACCAAGCAGACAAACTCTACTGCAAAACGTAGCTGTTTCCGTGTAATAATGCCACAAAACATTCCTCCGATGCAGAAATAACACCTGGCTTATTTTAGTCTACTTATAGAATAAATGGGTTTTAATAGCCCTGGACTTACACAAGCTATCGCCTCAGTTTGCTAACGTTAACTATGTTAGCTTACTGTAGCTAACAATCGCTGGACTCCAGTGTTCCAATGAGCTGATAAGCTAACCAAGTGCTAACCTTTAGCTACACGACTAACGCTGAATACAGCTGATTTCCACATCAACCACTGAACCTGACAATCAGATGCAAAATCCATTTCTAAATGTTACATATGCTAACTCTGGGTGTTATATGGTGAATACAATCCTCGTCGCTAGCTAACATAACAGACTAATATTTTCTTCTGTAACGGCACAAAGCACCGACTGTGCTAAAGAGCGAGAAATTATGAAAACGCTGCATGCATAAAGCTCCACACCTGAACTAAAACCGCAACTTACAATGTGTGTTATGCTATTGCTTCATTTTGGTTGCGACGACAGCTGATTTCTATTACAACATAATATAAAGGACCGAGACACCCGACTGGAGCTCTGGAGGACGCTGCTGCTAACAGAAGAGTCTGCCCCTGTGCTCATCATGGCCGGATCATGACACAATGGACCCCCGGGCATAGACATGTTAAAGGCCCCCATCATTCTTATAATGGAGCAAGAACCCCAGACTGAAAAACACCAATAAATGACTCCAAACAATAGAGTGGTGGCAATTTTTCTCTATTTGCTGACATTTTGTTATACCTTTATGTGTCTTTGTAACATTTGTGTGTGTGTCTTTGTGGTTGTTTTGCATCTATTTGTAGTTGATATGAGACTCTTTGTTTCTTGATATCTCTTGATATGAGTGTAGTACCCCAGTTCTTTAATTGGACAGCTCTGAATAACAAAGGAGTCCGTCTTTCTTCATCTAATGCTGGTTTATTTTAACCACAACTCAAAACAGCTTTTCTACTGGTAGTTAAATGAGGAATCATAAATACCATGGCAGGTTACAAATATCAACACACCCCCATGCGACGATAGAAATGGGGGTATAGAGCAGAAACCCCCCCACAAATATTAAACTTTTCCCCCACGACACAATGCAAAACCTAGTACTTGACCAAAACATATGGTCAGAGAGGTGGAAGCTTGACGTTAATAAATCAAGTTAGCTCCAACCAAGCAGACAAACTCTACTGCAAAACGTAGCTGTTTCCGTGTAATAATGCCACAAAACATTCCTCCGATGCAGAAATAACACATGGCTTATTTTAGTCTACTTATAGAATAAATGGGTTTTAATAGCCCTGGACTTACACAAGCTATCGCCTCAGTTTGCTAACGTTAACTATGTTAGCTTACTGTAGCTAACAATCGCTGGACTCCAGTGTTCCAATGAGCTGATAAGCTAACCAAGTGCTAACCTTTAGCTACACGACTAACGCTGAATACAGCTGATTTCCACATCAACCACTGAACCTGACAATCAGATGCAAAATCCATTTCTAAATGTTACATATGCTAACTCTGGGTGTTATATGGTGAATACAATCCTCGTCGCTAGCTAACATAACAGACTAATATTTTCTTCTGTAACGGCACAAAGCACCGACTGTGCTAAAGAGCGAGAAATTATGAAAACGCTGCATGCATAAAGCTCCACACCTGAACTAAAACCGCAACTTACAATGTGTGTTATGCTATTGCTTCATTTTGGTTGCGACGACAGCTGATTTCTATTACAACATAATATAAAGGACCGAGACACCCGACTGGAGCTCTGGAGGACGCTGCTGCTAACAGAAGAGTCTGCCCCTGTGCTCATCATGGCCGGATCATGACACAATGGACCCCCGGGCATAGACATGTTAAAGGCCCCCATCATTCTTATAATGGAGCAAGAACCCCAGACTGAAAAACACCAATAAATGACTCCAAACAATAGAGTGGTGGCAATTTTTCTCTATTTGCTGACATTTTGTTATACCTTTATGTGTCTTTGTAACATTTGTGTGTGTGTCTTTGTGGTTGTTTTGCATCTATTTGTAGTTGATATGAGACTCTTTGTTTCTTGATATCTCTTGATATGAGTGTAGTACCCCAGTTCTTTAATTGGACAGCTCTGAATAACAAAGGAGTCCGTCTTTCTTCATCTAATGCTGGTTTATTTTAACCACAAGCAAAATTACAAACACGACCCGGGTTGCTCCCTTTTCCAGACACACACACACACAGGCCGCTGGAAAGTGGAGTCCCCCCCGCCACACAGAACCTAATACATTTATAAGGTTTAGGCTAACCCCTTACCCAGAAAGATTACAAAAAGAAAAAAAAAATCCCTAGATGAAGTCAATCCGAAGACTCCATCTCTTATCTAGAGCTCCACATGCTTTGAGCAGCTGCATTTTTACCTAGTCATAACAAAATGAAGAATTTCAATGTGTGTGTATGCTGTCACATGATGTGTAGCTAAGGCATTTATTCATTTGTTCAGACATAATATTCTAATACAAGATTAATACAGGAAAAGAATTGGTGTCACAGAATCAACATTCTGTCCGCTAACCTTGAAACAAAACAAATTAGAGCAGACTTTAAACCTTACTAAACTGCATTACTAACACATCTGATTCAGCACATTAATGTCTAACAATTATCTAACTGATTGACTAATATCTAACATGAGTCTTTGTGGTCATTTTGTCTGTTTTTGACCATTCTTTGATTTTTGTTGTTATTATGTGTGTCTTCTGTGTTATCTTTGTGACTATGAGGTTGTTATGCATCTCCTTTAGGTACTATGCATTTATTTGTAGTCATATTTATGTCTTTCTAGTAGTTTTGTGCTCTTTGTGGTTGTTTTGTGTCTTTTTCAAGTAACTTGATCAGAAATGTTCACAGTCACTTCAAACAGAGGCTCTGGCCCAGAGGCCCCTAGGCCCTTGGACCCCAGGGCCAGAGCCTATTAGGCCTGTTCAGTAATGCATCCATGATACTCATACATATTTATGATTGACTTTAATTTGTAAAGTCACGTGCCTACTGATACATTATACAGTAGGTCATAGGGTTTCATAAATGTACTAACCTAAATATAATTTTTTTTCTGGAGTATGAGGTTTAAACAGGTCTTTTAGTTGAGAGACAAATCTATGTAGGCTATTTTACACTTAAATCCAGTAAAGTGAAGCGTTTCTGTGGGGTTTAAAACCATAAAAATGTTACTATTTTGATAATTAAAGCTAATGCATGGTATAGTATAGGGACCTAAAACTGCTGGTTTTGATCATAGAAAGGAAACCCTTTAAACACCACTCCTGTTCTCCTGATGAGAGCAATTGATCAACCAAAGAGGCACTTACAGGAATTGAGACTGACCATAAAGGAACTATGGATGACTGGAGGGACACTGGAGAACATCTGTATATCTGAGCCAACCATAGGCCAACATGGATGATGACAGAACCGTTTGGACAGGTGAGATGGGCTTGGACTCACCAGCGGGGCCTTTTGACAACCTTAGTGCTCCTCTGCCATGACATTAGGGGAATAGCCTAATGAAATGCCCAGATACAGTATCCTGTTTAATTAAAGCTGCTGCAGAGGTTATCACAGTGAAAATCTCTATAAGGATACTTATTTTGCTTCCACTCTTCAGCCTGCCAATAGCTTTCCCCTACCAGTAGTAGTAAAGTAGTAGATGATGAACCATAATTGATACCCAGTGAGCAATAGTAGACCTGTAAGGACTCAGTTCCTGTAGTTTTATCACCTGTATCACTTAGAGTGCCTGATGCATTGTTATATTATGTAGTATATTAGCGTTTGCAAGGATTTGACATCAAAGCATTGTTTAAATATTTGTTTCTCATAGGCTACTATTTTTATCATAATGATTATTCCCACAATCTTCTAGGCACTGGGAGTTAAACTTAGGTATTTATTGCACGAAGGGCCCCTTCCTCTCGTGTGCCGCATTTGGGGTCCCTGCTGGAATTTTAGTATTAGCGGGTGCAGAAGCCTGATGCACTCAGTCAAAAGCCTGAAATGGCCATTTTAACCATCTTATCACCATCACTAGGAGCAGCAACAGCACCACCTCAGAAGCCCATCCCCTAGCGTCTGTCCGGGGAATGTACGCTGTTTGCGCATGGGCGGAGAAACTGCCGCTGTGCGCTGTTATTATTGTAGGAGTAATTTCTTTCTTTTTTTATGAAAATGGCGTGTAGTCAGGGAGGTGTGGGAGCTATCACGGCTCTACAAAGCCATCACTACTCTAGCGGCCCTCACTGGAGCCCAGGCGTCAGCCAGTTTCAGCACCAGCAGCAGCACCACACGACGCGCAGCCTGGACCGGGCTCTGGAGGATGCCGTGTGTTCGGGGATACTGAACCTGAGCGGTAGGAAGCTGAGGGAGTACCCGGGGACGAGCTACGATCTGACCGATACAACGCAAGCAGGTGGGTTGCTGTGCATGCACAGACTATTGGGAACCACGAGTCACTCCCAGTGTGCTTCGTGTAAAAATGCGCTCATGGATTTACGCGTCTGTGAATGCAGCACGCCCGTATTGTGCATGGATTTTTGTTTCTGCGTGGAGGCGTATTAACATGTAGGCAACATATGTAAAGGTATAAGGTTATTCCGTCCATTCATATGGCTCCTATAAACACATATACATCCTGTAATTACTGCCCACTCGGACTCATAAGTCACATCAGTTTACTGTAAAGGGGGCTCGGCTGATGTTCTGTGGTTGTTTTGGTCGACGCCAGTAGCTTTCAGCGGCGTCCCTTGAGACACATGAAAGAGACGACAGGCGCACCCAAGTCGGGCGCTGTGCAGTGGTGTGCGCACTGAGCTGCAGTTGATTTGGCACGGGAAGCAGGAGCAGAATATGAATGAACCGAGAGGTGTAGTTTTCTTCACTGAATGTATGTTGTGCTGAGCATGCGATACAGCCACATAGCCTACTTTTTAAAAAGGTTTCCGGTGCAAGCAGACAAAAGATGAAGGGTACTTGCAGCCTCGCTCCCCTGCCTTCCTGGGTGGATATAGCCTATAATCTGTCAGAGAGGAGGGAGATACTGGTTTGGTGTTGGTTTCATATGTAGGCTGATCGTTATTGGGTCATGTGACTAGTATTACCGTAGGTTCGGTTTTCATAGGTCTGTGTTATCAGGGTCAGGCCATACACAACTTCTACACATAAATGACCCCATAACAGATTATGCAAATCATTAAGATTTTAAGAACCCCATACAGGGGGATATTTGCAGCCATATTAATATAGAAAGGAATATTCTAATACTAAGATAATCTAATGGACTAATACTCAAAGCAGATTATTATTATTTATCAATCTCAGCCATTATCATGGATATCTAGAAGACTACAGTCTCCCCCTTTGAGGTGTCTATTTACCATATGGTGCTACCTTGTCTTGTGCAAGCTCATGGAAAACTGTTGGTTTGTTGGAGAGCCTCTACCCCAAGAGATTTAATATTTTGGTCCCTTTGCATATCTAGACTTTTTTTTCTCACTCACAGAAAACGCTAACATTTTGAAACCCTACAAAATTAGACACATGCATGAAATCAAAAGTAAAGTAAAAAAAATATCTGTAGTAGCTCATATTATGTTGAACCCTAATTAATTTGGCTCCAGCCTCTGGAGACTAATCATGGATAGATAATATGTTTTGTTTATCATTAAGCAAACATTTTGGATATGAATGCACTGATTGTTGCTTCTCAGTGTCAGTGAACCGGTGACCTCCTCAGTGCTTGCAGTGGATCCGAAACCAGACATGAGCCACTATTTACGTTGGCAGTGTCACTGTGATATAGTGTGCCTTTCATTAGGGGACGAAAGACACAGCAGGAGGTTAATATGCGTTATTTCTTCACTGCTGGGCTTTATATTTCTTATGATATACTGTAATGCTGATCAGCACAGTCTCTGTATAAAGCAAGGCTGTTCAAATGTATCCACGCTGCTGCGTATGGATACATGTCATATAACACTGATAGTAATCAAATAAGATACGACAGGATACATTTCTGTCATGCCTTTGGGCTCTAGCTTAGGTTGTGACTAATCAGGTCACCGTGAATGTTTCACATCTTCATTTCGATGCTTCAGGTGAAAGGGGCGTCAGAGGGAAGTCTCACTTTCACAAAGAAATCAACACCTTGCAGCACCATCCGCTACATCAATGCTATCTCTCCTGTCAAAAGGCAGTGTTACAATGCTGCATGCAACCTTTACAGTTTTTGTGCCATCACTAGGTCAATTGCATCCAAACCCTATCGTACTGAATAAAAAACAAGCTTGTTTAGGTTTAATAAAGTAATTTCTTCTGAAATTAGCCCATAACCACTTCTCATTTTGTTGACACTTTAGCAGTTTGGTATTTGAAGAATTTTAAATCACTCTTTACTTTTCCTATCTCTCGTAGGGGGACAACTTTGTTCTCCATTGACCTGTAAATATTGGCTCTCTGAAGCTGCTGGACAGCAGCAGTCGTTATGTAGACAGTGTAGGCAGTTAATTAACATTCCACATGCCTCATGAGTTCATATACTGTAGTTTCTACTGCCAGCCCTTTAAAGACGAACTTTTTTGCAGCACCAGAGAATTGAAAGATGAAATGATGAATTCCTCTAAAACAACATTTAGTTGGATATTTTAGCATCTTATCATTTCTGCCCATCCCATTGCTGGTTTTAGAAACCAGATCGGGTTTTTAAACAAACTGAGGGGCGTCCATCTGACTAATTAGCAGCAGAAGGCTCCAGTTTAAAGAGAGAGTTCTGCTCACACAAGGGTGTCTGTTTGCAGTGTGCTACTGGCAGTTTGTCTCCAGTCACTTTGTTTTCCTGTGGGAGAGTGCAAGAGCTTCAAGCCACTGCTCTGACCTTGGAAGAGGCGCTGGGGTGCAGTGCATCATCCCGGGCAGATGTTCAGGTTCATATCCCAGCATGCCCCCACCATGCCCCCACCATTACCCTACCCCTCAGGGGACAAATACACACACCTTGGGCAGTGTAATGTGCTTCCCCGGCAGCGCCCTGCAGTGTGTTGTGTTCATTATTGTCAGACATAGAACAATGTGGTGACAGCTGGGGGATGAGCTGCTGAGTTTGATTTACAATAAAAATATGGGCAGGATATTATGGCTTTAGTTTATTTTCATTTTTTTTATAACTCTGCCACAAAACTGAAGACTTAACAGATTCTGTCCTCACACTACAAATCCATTGCCTTCTTGTTCATTCGTGTATCCTCTACAAAAAGTCTGGTGTAATATTTCATAGCCAAAAACAGCTCCAAATGAAAAAAAAGCTAAAGAAGCGTGATTTTTGTTGTTAATTTTGGGTGTGTGTGTTAGTGATAGCCAATAACAAACCCAAAGCTGCAAGATTTATTGTGTATCATGTTCAAACTTCTGTCCAGAGCAAGTGGCTGAAACAGGGGGTAAAATGGTCATTACATTTTTTTGTTTAATTATGCATGACTTGAAGCACACAGTGAATCTCACACTGTAAGCTTTTTTGTTGTCACATTCTTGTGAAGTTTTGTCCTTCAGGAAAGCTTCGTGAAGAACAGTCTCCACGAGGACTCAGGTGCCAAGGTGGCATGCTTGCATTTAATAATCAACCAGTGTAAACAGTGTCAGTGTTTATTAACGTACAAGCACATTTCAGGCTGACTCATTCAAAAGGCTCTGAGAGGCTCATACTTGGTGCTACATTATACTTAAAACCAAATCCAATGTTCCTGCTCCTGCCCTGTCTTTGTGTCTTGTGTCCTGGCCGGTGTTTGAAGAACAACAGGAGCTGTTCAGAAGCTACTCAAAAGAACAGGCCCCCCCATCAAAAAGCTATTTTTTACCTGATATAGAACACGCAGAATGCATCCTTTTTCACTTTCAACTAGTTTTCTCAGCAATCATACCAATATGAGTGTAGCCTGAAAAGAATTCACATTCCCTACTGGTGTTCCTTCTCTCAGGGCTTGGTCTAGATGTGTCTCTGCATGTCTAGATAAGACATATGCATACCTGTCAGAACATGGTCCCTTATCTCATTACTAACACCAGCCTACTATTATAGTAAATAACAAATCTGTTATGGGCCTGTTATACAGTAAAAGCAAAAGTCTTAGGCCACCATGACACTGGCCTAAGACGTTTGCACAGTACTGTATTTCACAGTCTTTTTATTGAAAAGAAAGTTGTTTTCTTCCTTGAGTTCCTCTGTCAATGGAGGTTTTAATCATGCAGCATACAGTATGTTTGTCTCCAGGAGACAGTTGAGGTTTTAGGAAATGTATACTAGAGGTCATTTCCTACACTGGCAACCTGTACCTTTGAAAATATCACACAGAAATCTTTTTAGTAAATGTATGATAATTAAAATATTTTTAAGAAATTAAGAAGAGATACTTTGGTCAGGTATTTTAAGGAAACAAAGTGTGACATGTTCCTCACAAGCCCTAGAACAAAAAGAACCTTCTGAGTACATTTAAACAAGTGCATTTAAAGTAGGTTTATTTTTGTGTCAATCGGCTACTTTTTAAATTCATCAAGCAATGTTTAGTCTATATTTTGAGAACATGTCTGGTAGAGGAAGTTTAGATTGTAAGGAATTGTAGTGCATGGGCTAAGTTAGTACCTGACTGTGATCACAAGAGAGAAAATGAAATGCTCCATTAAAGCACCCACAGACAACCCCTCACAATGTAGCTGAGCAAATACAGCTGATCTAGTGACTGGACAATCCCCTAGGACACACCTCACACAGAGCAGCATGTCTGCTGCACCCACAAGACATCCACCCCTGGACTAACCCTCTCCCAGACACTGCCAGGGATGTTGTGATACCTACGATGGCTCAAAGTCACCCTGAACACCAAGCGGACTGCCCATCAAATACTTTAATTGTCACAAAATGACCCCTTCATGACCCCAGACAACACCCAAAACCTGCCATTTAGAAACTGGCATCATCTACTTCTGGGCACAGTTAATTAAACCCAACATGTTTTCACTCCTCTCTGTTTGGCTTCATTCAATTGAACCTTGTAACAACATTGTTATAAGTGCTACAGTAAAGAGCTTTTAGCATTGTGTCCACTTCTGCACTTGATACTGACGTTTCTTGTAAACAATTATATTTTTGCCCTGCTGTATGAAGATGGTGACAGGTTGAATTTTAATAGTAGTTTTATTGAAAAATATTTCCTGTTCCAAGAATGGGTGCAGTCTGTGCCCTTTGCTCCAGCACTCAATATGATACAGAGTTTGCTGTGTCATGGCAAGACATATAGCAGCAAGACATCATCTGCACTACCAACATAAATGAATAGATTGCTGATTTGGCATGAGTGTGCAGTGCACCATAGTGGAGCCTCAGTGAAGGGCTCATCTGCCTGGTGGACCCTGTCCTGCGGGAGCTCTAGGCGACCAGCAGGTGGATGGCAGACCCTCTGTGGGCCGCAGATGGTGTACAGCCTAGGTTAGAGGAGGTAGGGATGGAGACAGGCTCACAAAGACTGCCTCCACCCACCCCCATTTCCCATTGAACCGCATGTTTCCACCTCTACAGAAGTATCCCCAGCTGGAGGGAGGGAGGGAGGTAGGGAGCTGTCTGTATACAGCTGGGTTACAGCATCAAGGGGCAACCCTCAGGGAGAGGCAGAATTTACTCTTAATGGAAAACAAATATACTCCGCGACCTCAGCTTTGGTCTTCCCCCATGTGGTAATTTCTGTTTCCTTTAACCTCTCGACATCTTTTTCTCTTTGTGTTGCTGACTGTCTCCTGGTTTGCTTCTCATTTCTGCTTACTGGCTGCTGTCAGACTCAGACCACAGTTACAGAATGAGGCCTGTCAGGTCTATGGCTGGTCACTTAACACTTGTCAGAAGTGAAACAATTTAAAGGCACAGACACAACTCACAGACAGTTTTGCTCGCCTCAGTAGGCCTTGTAACCCAAGGGGGCAGGGATTAAAGGCTGCAATACCTGCATATAAATGTTAAAATGCTTTTTGAAGAGGAGCTACTGATATGACATTTTATTCAATTCAGTTTAGTTCAGTTTTATTTGTATAGCACCAAAATCACAACAAAAGTCATCTCAGGACACTTTACAAAATAAGGTCTAAACCTTACTATTATTATTACTGTTAATCCATCCACAGTGAACAGGAAGCACTTAACAGTAGGTCAGTGAGTGCTTTCATGCATTCAGTAAAGCCAATAGACAGGAGCTTAGTTGTTTAATAAAGTGTGATAGCTATATATATATTTATATACATATATATGTAATTGCATGCTGTAGGAGGACTGAGGAGTTGTGGTGTTTGCTTCTCCAGCAGTACCCATGCAGCAGTTTCACTTAGGCAGGACAGAATAATTGATAGAGCTCTCTGTGTTTATCTGTGGCTGTGGAGCTCCTCACATACAGTGGTGTGAAAAAGTATTTGCCCCCTTACTGATTTCTTATCTTTTTGCATGTTTGTCACACTGTAATGTTTCAGATCATCAAACAAATTTAAATATTAGTCAACGATAACACAAGTAAACACATCATGCAGTTTTTAAATGAAGGTTTTTATTATTAAGGGAAAACAAAATCCAAAACTACAAAGCCCTGTGTGAATAAGTGTTTGCCCCCTAAACCGAATAACTGGTTGGGCCACCCTTAGCAGCAACAACTGCAATCAAGCGTTTTCGATAACTTGCCTAGTTTTGGATTTTGTTTTCCCTTAATAATAAAAACCTTCATTTAAAAACTGCATGATGTGTTTACTTGTGTTATCTTTGACTAATATATAAATTTGTTTGACGATCTGAAACATTACAGTGTGACAAACATGCAAAAAGATAAGAAATCAGTAAGGGGGCAAACACTTTTTCACACCACTGTACATTGTGTCACCCAGAGATAATTCAGAAGACAGGATTGTTGTCACACAGACATGATGATGTTTTCATTCCTTGCAAGGTGTTTTACATTAATTTCCTGTAGACTTATCCAAACCTCACCCATAACCACTTAATGAGCCTTAACATGGAGCTTCCCATACCTGTATTCCAGCAGAACTTAAAGGGCTGTTGTGATCAGTCCCTCCTTGCTTTTCTATTGCATTTTTCATGTTGGTTATTTACATAAGGACAGGTCTTAGCACTCCTGACTCATAAATACACAGCTGAGTAGAGTCAAGCCAAAGACTACAGTGTTCATTAATCACGCTTGCAACAAAATCTGCCAGTAATGGAGACGGTATGAGCGGTTTAGTTGTTGAACAAGCAGCATACAGGCTTGTGGAAAAGTGACATCTTTGCCGCTTTGCCTGCAGCCTCCTTTTGTCTTTAAACCAGTAGGAGTTAATGTTCACACACCTTGCATGTAATGCTAATATTTGAGACACAACTGTCGCTGCTGTTAAACCAGTCATGGCCTGCCAGCACCCACCCCTATCACCCTATCACAACCTTAACCATCACAACTAAGTGCATAACCCCAGCCCTAATATCGAGTCTTAACCCTCAAACAGCGTGTTGAATTTGTTAGGACTGGCCAAAATGTCATCACAATGATGGTACCAATCAAAAACTGCAATACTGATGGTGTATCATGTTCAGACTTCTAGTATACTGTTCAGAGCCTGGTTGAAACACACGGTAAAATAAATATAGCACTTTTAAAAAAATTATATGTCACTTGAAGCACACAATAAATTGCGCACAATGATTCTTTGTTGTTACATTCTTATTTCTCATGCTTGTTTCTGGTGTGTGAAGAACAGCAGCGGCTGCTCAGAGGCTACTCAAAGAACAGCCCTCCAAAAATGATAGTTACATGATAGGGAATAAATATACTGTAGAACATGCGAAATGCTTTTTTTGAAAAAATTTATGTTTTGTTTTTTTTTTACTCCCAACTATGTAGTTTTTTTGAGTGATTGTAGCAAAATGAGTGTAGCCTGAAAAAAAACCCCACCTTCCCTGCTAGTGTTTCTTCCCTCAGGGCCTCATCTAGATGTGCCTTGGCACGTCTAGACAAGGCTTTAGCATACCTGTCAGAACACAGTACCTTATTATATCAATGACACTGCAGGTCAGTATTGGGTAATTACACAACTAAAAACGAGATAATGTTTGTCAGTAACACACCTGTTAAGGGCTTTTTGTGTTACACAGTCCATGATTTTTACTTGAGTTCCTCTATAAACAGAGGTTTTAATCATACAGCATATGGTACAGTACAATGATATACTGTGTGTTTCCAGGAAACAGCTGCAGACAGCCGTTCACACCATAGATTATAGTTCATACTCACACACAAACACAAACATATGCACATGTTTGTTTTCATTCCTCACAGGGATTTTACTTTGACATGCACTCATTTTCTGGAGACTTACCCCATCATCAGCTAAATGCCTAACCCTAACCTAAGGTGAAGTCTTAACCCTCCAACAGCTCTTTGAAGGTGTGCCAGAAAGTAAGAACTTGCCAAAATGTCTTCACTCCCATGGTATAAACTCAAACTGGTCTTCACACTACTGGTCATGCAAGTACACACATGCACACACTGATTAGCAGCTGATGAATCAATATGTGTGTGAAGGTGAAGTCCAGGTAGTCTCTCCATGCTGTTCCCATAGGGCCCCATATACCCTCATGCTTCTGATTTAAATAGATGCTGTTTGTGTCAGGGTGTATTTTTTGGAGGGCATAGAGGTAGAAATAGAAGGATACTATGGAATTGTGTGTGCACATGTTTGTGCATGGGAATGTCTTTGGCTGTGTGGGCTTGTGTGACTGATTCAGCATCCTTGAATGTTAAACTCAGGTTTTGTGTATTGACCAGAAACATGAAGACAATGTAAACCTCCAATGTGAGAATGAGTCTGGTGCAGTACTTATAAACCCACATATTTATCAATCATCAGGCACAGCACCTCTTACACTTCACTTCCACACAAGACGTTGCAATGAAATGAATGAAATTTACTTAGCCCATGCATGCTTCAGAGGGTGATCCTTCCCATTTTGAACATGATGAGCTTCTTGTCTTTTAATATGCCCATAACAAAGTGTGGAGCTTTTTGATTTTACTGACCTGATGTTGTTTCTCCAGGATACCCCTTTAGGAACAGTCTACATTGCACTTGTAGTTTCACCACTAGTGTGGCTATAAGAATTGCAAAGTCATCAGTATGTAATTTGTTATCTCTGGCTTAATCTAAAATGTTCTTATTCCTCAAAGTAATAACAGTGCAGCTTTAAAGGTGAGGCTGTTCTCACCTTCACTGACTAGAAGAGGGATTACATTCACATCCTTGTAGCAGAATGAAATGAAATGCTACTGGCATGGTTTGAAGGATCCAGAACAGAATATTTCAACAGCTACTGGATGAATGTCTATCGTGTCCTGATGATGAAGCCTACTGACTTTGATGGTTCTTCGATGGTTACATTCATGGCTTTAAGATATTTGTCTCATCAACTTTTGGGGAAAAAGATAAATCCTATAAAAGCGCCGTTTAGTAAATCATTCCAAAACTATCCATTGGAACAGAAGACCCACCATCTGGACAAAAACAAACCCAGACCTCCTTGTTTTTTAGAACCATTTGCTGATTATCTTCTGTTGCTTGCGACTAATCTTTCAATAAAAAGGAAAGATGTGACATGAGTTCTACCACTTTCTAAAGCTATTACTGTGCCACTCAGTGAGATCAATACTGGAAATGCTGAGAAATTACCCTGCCGGTAGCACTCAGTCCTTCGAGGCCCGTGACTCTGGTGTAATCTTAGACCGGTGTTCAGCGAAGAGGCATGCTACCCAGCACTCTGTCACAGACACGTATTGATCAGTCTCTCATGTCTAAAGCCAACATAATGAACTGTGCCCAGATCTTGAAAGGATGAATGTTTCTTGTATGCTCAAAGTGCACATATTTGATCAGCTTCTGTTTCTTTGCCTTACAGATCTCTCCAAGAATCGCCTCACAGAAATCCCTCCAGAAGTGTGTCTGTTCGCCCCCCTCGAGTCACTCAACCTCTATCACAACTGCATCAAGTGCATCCCAGAAGCCATCATCAATCTGCAGATGCTGACTTATCTTGACATCAGGTGGGCCCTTGTCAAAACAATACTTTCATTTAGGAATGTGTATCAGTTTTTATATCTCTCATGAGCCGCTTGTTCCCCTTTCAGTACACTAACGCCGAGCCTGAGAAGTAGTTCCTCCTTTGCTGAAACTCAATTCCCACTCACCAGTTATCCATTATTACATGCTTCTCTCTGCTTTTTAAAAACAGCTCAGTGTTTTTTTTTTTTTTCCTACAGCCGAAATCTTCTCTCAGTTTTGCCAAAACACCTGTTCAACCTCCCCCTCAAAGTTCTGCTTGTGAGCAACAACAAGCTCCTATCCATCCCAGAAGAGATCGGCAAGGCCAAAGAGCTGATGGAGCTGGTGAGCAGTGTGTATGCATCAGTGCATATGAACTCATATACTTTGCATTGTACAGCCAGGGTAATGCAGGTGTTGTCTGCCCTTCCAGGATGTGAGCTGTAATGAGATTCAGGTGCTGCCAGCTCAGGTGGGGAGGCTTCAAGCCTTACGAGAACTCAACATCAGGAAGAACTGTCTTCACATGCTGCCTGAGGGTCAGTCCGTCACTCCTGATGCTCCCTGTTTTATTTCTCCCTGTGTTCTTTAGAGATTCACCATCATTATTTTCCTGTTTTCTGACATTTTTGGCAAGCACACCATTCCTCTCACAGCCAGGAATGACATCAATACAGTGTTTTTTTGTGTTGGCTGTCATGTTATGTTATGTTGGTGCAGCCAAATTAACCTTGGTGTCTTATCTCTGCATCTGCTGTGTCAGCTTTGGTTCCTCAGCTTTGTAGAACTTAAGCACTTAAGCATTTAATAGCTGGAGTACACTTTTAAGACATTATGCTACTCTATATAGTACAGCAGCCCAGAAATAAGACCGACATGGACTTAGCTTTTAGGCCGCTGCAGTGTTTTGCTCATGTCTGACCCACCAGCAAAGCTAATAATGTATTCCCTGTTATATTTTGGAAGCAATGCATTAAAGCTGTTCATAAAAGTCCTCTCCTGTCTGTGTTTGCAGAGTTGGCTGACCTGCCTCTCATCCGACTTGACTTCTCCTGCAATAAGATCACAGAGATTCCTCCTGCCTATAGGAAGCTCAGGCAGCTGCAGTACATCATCCTAGACAACAATCCTATGCAGTCTCCACCTGCACAGGTATGTGCATTCACTTCATGATTGTATTTGTGTATAATATATAGATATGAAGCGTATCAGTGGTGTCTAACTTGCAACACAAACGTTCTTTGTGGACTTCCTGTATGGTGCAATTCCACCATCTAGTGGATGAATGAACATATTTCTCTCTGTATCCGTTACAACAACTCAGACTCTAGAGACACCTTGTGTACATTTGTATGTTTCAGATTTGTCTCAAGGGCAAAGTGCACATATTCAAATTTCTGAACATCCAGGCGTGTAGGATGGACAAGAAACCAGACACTCTGGACCTCCCCTCCCTCGGCAAACGCTGCCTTCCACAGCCGCTTACAGATAGGTACTGACACATTTGCTATGTGTAGTTTTATTATGAAATAAAAGGTCCATCTATTAATCACTTCAGTCTGTTGAAATAGATGCATTTGCTCATGAATCACATCTACATCCACTTATTCATTGATATTTTCATACTTATTCAGATGCCTATCTGATTTTATCATGTACCGTTATGAAAAGAAAACCTCATGAGCTATTTGGTTTGCATATTTCCAGCATAGAAGATTTTTATCCCACTAAGAACCATGGGCCTGACTCTGGAATTGGTAGCGACAATGGTGACAAGAGGCTGTCAACAACAGAGGTCAGAATACAAACTGGCAACATGAACTTATAGGATCACCAATCCACGATGAGCTTATGTATCACCATGAAGCATTTTGACGTACACTGGTGTAAATGTAGCCTACACCTTGTGGAATTTAGTTTCTGATCCACTATTAACCAATGTTAAATTGTTGCCCTTAGCCAGCTAGTCTTAGTTTTAGCTTAACTTAACTCCTTCAACTTTTTAACACACTACACACAGCTTTCAAATTGAAACACTCTCAGTTTTACCTCTGTCCCAGACAAAAGTAGTCTCCCTGCTTTCTGCTGAGCCAAAGTATTGCATGGCAAGCAAATATATATATATAACAGTTCTTGGAAGAGAAGAATAGCATTAATCGCATCTAGAGCTCTCAAACATAAAGTGATGGCAAGAAACTGAATCACTGATATATAGAGATTAGTATATGAACATCCAGCATTGCTGCACTCTCATTCATTTGGACAAGTTCAGTTTAAAAGGACACAGACCCACCCAGAATCCAGTTCATTTCCCTCTCACGCTTTACGTCTTCTGCAGCCTTCAGATGATGACACCGTCAGCCTGCACTCTCAGGTGTCAGAGACGGCCCGTGCCGATGCTCTCTCACTGCTCTCCAAAATGGACTCTTGCAAAGGTTACCGAAAATAAGTATCACATATTCCCTTTGAAAACAATAACAGAGACACGGCGTTGTTGAATGAAGTGCCTGAAATGTGACAGTTTATGTGATCAACGCGGATGCTTCCTCCCTCTATCAGATCAGGATCTCTATGACTTTATAGAGCCCAACCCCAATGAGGATCCTGCTCTGTCAGAGTGTGATGGACAGCAGAGCAGCCATGTGTCTTGTATAAAGGTATGAATCTACAGTATCTATAATCTATGGTCTGTCTATACACATATGCATGGCCAAATATGGTATATGTGTAACATATGTAGCCATCATTTGGGAAATGGATGATGACAAACATCAAGAAAAGTATGAGAAGTCTACAGGAGGTTCCTCATTTTCTAATTATTAACAAGATGTATGTGTGTGTGTGTGTGTGTGTGTGTGTGTGTGTGTGTGTGTGTGTGTGTGTGTGTGTGTGTGTGTGTGTGTGTGTGTGTGTGTGTGTGTTTCAGGAACTAGAAAAAGTTCTTAATATGTCTCACCAAAGCAAAGATAAGGACAGCTGGAAAGAGGAGTCAGGGTGAGTTGGTTATTCAGTGCATCAGTCAAACAAAGAACTTGTTTAGCTTAAGTTGTAATGACAAATGAATAAGTTAATTACAAAATACATGTGAGTAATTTAGTGCAAAGTCTTGCAAAAAGAGTAAGGAGTTTCCTGACTACAGACTTTAATGAGCCACCAGTGCTGCTAAGCAGACTAGTTGACCAGTTCTCATGAAACAGCATGAGTTTACAGTAAAACTCAAATTACTGCTTTGCGGTTGGATCCACCAATTGATGGTACAGACATGACGCTACAGCGACCTTAACCTTGAATCCAAGTGGATGTTTGTGCCTATTGTGAAGAAATTCCATCCAGGTGTTCCTGAGATATCACGTTCACAAAAACGGGATGGACGGATGACCCCAAAACATAACGCCTCATGCTATGGCTACTACTGGCAGGGAGGCCTAAGACAAACTTGCGCATTCACCCTAATTGTGGAAATATTAGATGAATATAAAGATGTTTGTAGACACATGAGTAAAGCTACTGCAAACTGGGAGACCCGGCTGATGGCTCAGTCAGTCAACTAGATGGCGAACTCTCACTGTAAGCAGAGAATTCCTTTCAGTACAAGCTGCTAATGTGCTGTGGCTGACAGTCCCCTGTGCTAGTCCCCATGAAAGATGATTCTGGTTTATGTATCGTATGTAAATACAGGAAAACCTGTTAGGCAATGATAGCAGCTGCTCTAAATGGCTGTACTCACAAACATGTTTTGGAAAGTATATACACTGCAAAATGATAGATAGTCGTGCATATTTTAGTGTACATGCCCTCAACAACACATAAAATCATGTAGTTAGATTTCCTCCTTACAAATTTATGAATGCATGTGTCTTGACAACCCTGTTAATGCTTTGAGCATCTTGTTTTGATGAGTGCAGACTTCTGTTTGCACACCTTTAGTGAGATTGTGTCAGATTATGTTGTTAATATCATAATTTATAAACTCATGAATCAAAATGGCACGTTGCATACAGATTCTAATGACAGTTAACCTTGAACCTGAACTCGTTCCAGTTCTGATAAGGAGCAGCTAGTTGAGGAAGAGGATGATGAGCTGAAGGAAGTGCTGGATCTGAGGAAGATTGCTGTTCAGCTTTTGCAGCAGGAGCAGCAGAACAGGTGTGTGGCTCTCACATCTCTTCTGGTAACATAACAAAAGCCATCTGATACATGCTCAAACACTACACACCGACTTTAGTTTACATCTTCATTTGCCGCACTGCTTGAGTCCACTTTTTTCTTTTGTTTTGTTTCTCCTTTCTCTTCTCACTCCCTTCTCATCACATAATATGCTTATTCATATGTGCTGCTTCTCTTGGTCAGGCTATCAGCTTGCAGTACAGGGGAAACTGTCAGAAACGGCGCGCGATGCAGCCGAAAAGTGTTAGGTGAACTCAATTAAATAGCCAGTTGAGGAAGTGTAAAACAAAACCCGTCTCTTTAATAAGAAAACTAACGTAAACAAAAAAACCATACAAGACACGGTGAAAAACACAAAACTCACATGTCCTTATTAGCAGTCCGAGGTTAGAGCCAGCAAACACATACAACAGAGGTGATCCAAAATACGCTGTCCAAAGATAAGTCCGTTAAGCCGATACACCTAGAAGCAGTCTGAGTTTTGAGGGCAAGGCAGAACAGAATAATCTAAGGAAACAGTCCAGGTCAGAAACACAAATACCAAAACCGAAAATAGTGCTGGAAAGTCAGAGCTGGGGTCTAGAACAATCTGGCAGCGTCCTTGCAGTTTTTCAAAACATTGGAAAGTGCAGGAAATACACATCATATAGTGTGCACAGCTGTGGCTCCGGAGTTAGGACAATTGTCCCTTAATGGGAAAGTCAGTAGGTCGATTCCTGTTCTTCCAGTCCACATGCTAAAACCGAATCATGTCAGAAACTGTTTCCTGGAATCTTACAGAGGTTTGCTTTGGCTCGTAGTCAGAATTTGAACTGTACACTGTGTGAAAAGAACTTCTCATCACCCTTGTGTCTGTTGATTCATTCTCTGTTTCTCAATATCCAGAGAGAAGTTTTTCCTTGTGCCTCCAAATATTCCACCATCATCACCCTGTGACCTCTTTCATCCCTACAAATCAAGTTGTTATCAGCTTTGCTTCACGTTCTCACTGTCTGCTTCTGTCTGTCCCCAATTATCTCTTGTTCCCTGCTTTGTCCCTCAACTTGGCTGCTGCACATTTGATGTATGGCTTCTAGACGACGGTCCTTAATTTGCAGAGCAGAGAGTCTTATTCACCGACGGAGAGTGACTGGCCGGGCACACAGGTAGCAGGAGACACTTTCCTTATCATCATTTAGACGTTCACACTGGGTACATAAGCAGGTTTATATGAAGGAGTGTGAGGAAAGCAGCTGCTATGTTTACATTTTAGAAGTGATATTAGCCCACTTGCTCTGTGACCTGGTTTATGCAAAACTTTGATGAGTGTTATATTAATCTAGGGCTTTAAACAGACATTCTTAAATACAATCCCATCCATTGTGAAGATGTATTTGTTGCTCAAATGGTCACATTCCTGAATATGAGTCAGAGTCTGCAGGAATCAAGTAACATTAGTCATGGATGTTGTAACCATTATTGTTTCTGTGTGGTACTATGACTGTACCTGAATTCATTTCTGTGTGCAGATTCCTAAGTTACTCTGGAAGCAGCAAACCAAGGCCCCCACCACAGACCTCTCGGAGGTATGTGCTGTACCACATGTACCATACCAGCATATGCTCAGTCCTATCAAGCAAAGATACATTTTTAGGGGAGGCAGTGGCACCATGTAATAATGAACCCAGCAATTTTTCTGTTCTGTCCTTCTGTCAAAGGAACTTATGAAGACAGAAATGGTACTAACTATAATTGAACTCTACTGTTTGATAAAAAAAATATGCTTGGAGGAACTGTAACTTCTTTAGAACTGCCATCAGCATTGCACTGTGTATACACGGTATATCCTCCCGAGATCCAATAGAATAAAAGTTTTTTTTTGTTACTTTATTCTAGTGCGTCTCTGGATGAAGGAAGCAGTGGAGCATCTCTGCTTAGTGGGCAGGTACAAACGTTTTGTGTCTTTCATTCCTCATGTGAGGTTTTGTTTCTAGAAAATGCAGACATTAATCTTACTCTCAACTGTCTGCTTTCACAGCCTGAGGATGGCAGCCTGAAGGCAGATCAATCAGATTCAGAGCCAAAGTGGCCTGAAGTCCCGCCTGTCCTCAATCAAAATGAAGATCGCAGGAGGAACAAATACCTGAGAAAAGATTACCTGAAGGTTCGAGTGTGCACACGTGTCCCTGTGACCTCAACAGTCTCATCTGTAGTTGGCAAAATGGATGTTCTGGAGAACAACCTCATTGGTTGCTCTCAGCTGTTTACTTTTTACTTAACCCTGTTGGCATCAAGCTATGCAGAAAGTTTTCTTTAGTTTTTATAAGTTTTGAGGTGTTCATCTCTAATATTCCTTTTTTGCCCCAGTTTATGGGAATGAATGGGTTTTCATGGATGGTGATCCCAGAACTGAAATGTAACATTTGAAAAAGTTACCAGTAACATGTCTGTTCAGCAATAATGCTCCAGTCAATCTGTATTATCTACAGATTTCACTGTGAAAACACTTTTTATACTTCTACCTCTTTATTAGTTCTAATAATAACTGGTCACACTGAGGTGTGTGGATTCTCCAGGACATTTTTCATAGAAATACAAACAGTTTTTTCCAATTCATTGAGAACCACAAATCCCATTCTCCTTTTTTGTATTGGGGTCACAGATATCTCCAAACCTGTGCCAATAAAATCTGCACTGCTAGATGTAATTACTGGTGGGTAGAAAGATGTTTTTTGTGTGTTTGTGATTTGGATAAACCGACCCTTTAAAAAATGATGTGTAAATGTGTGCTGGTAGCACAGAAGGTCTCATACGTGTGTGCCTCAGCTAACTGGAAGAATCCTTGGGAAAGTCCCAGGTTTTCTCAAGGAAGTTTAATGTTACAGTTATTTTGATTAAAGATAACATAATCAAATTGTTTCCTTCATTCTTAACAGTACAAGTGTCAGAGTGCTCGGAAAACCTCCTGTGGGAACAATGACTGTGAGGTGGGTGTCAGAATCATCACGTTAGAACAAAAAATGCTAATATCATCTGTAAACATCGTGATGTAAAGTGACAGTGTTCTTTTCTGATGTAAATAAATCTTCTGTCTGCAGGATGGCTTGCGCAACACTGATTTCAGTACCACGTTGACAGTGTTTGGACTAAAGCCCCGATCAGGTAATTCTCAAGTGTGTTACACAGCTGCTGTTGTTTTAGCGTTCTGGCTAGTGTTTTCCCTTCTTACTCATGTTAAAAATAGACCACCACAGAGTAACAACCCTTTGCATATGCAGTGGAAATGTGTGATGGCACCAGTGCCTGACAACAGTCTGTTTGTGTGCACTCTTCTGAATAGATTTCAGAACCTAATAATTAAATTGATGCCTGAAAGCTTGCACCAATAGAAAATATCCAAATGAAGCTTGTATAAACACGCCGGCGATGTCAGATTTTAGCCTAAGGTTCATATCTTTTTCACATGAAGCCGGAATATTTTTAGATGGAATCCATTGTCCTTTCTCTGGAAGTGGAGAAGAATTCTGAGGAGCTGCTGACTTGGTTTATCAGGGCAAAGGTTAACATGACCGATGACTCCCAAAGAGCTTTACTTGGAAACATTAACAAATTTTGTTTTGGTGCACTACTAAATCATGGAAATGCATTTTTATCATCATTAATTTATTGCTGTAGCTTTATTTAGATACTATAATTATGCAACAGCACTAATACAACATTGTAAAAATGTGTGTTTTCTCTATGCATTTCACTATGTTAGCTCATATTTAAAACACTGCACTTTGTTTGTTATTTCAGCCTTCACCAGGGGAAGTCGTCAGGAGTACAGCTCAGCAGACCCCAGTTTTACTATGAGAAGGAAGATGGAGCACCTGAGAGAGGAAATGGAGCAGATCGCACTTTTACGGCAGGTCAGAAGCCTCACAGCTTGTTTATGCCCTTGCATTTTGCACAAAGCCCTGAGTCATTCAGATTAGATGCCAAAGCCTTCGAGATCCTGCTTTTGTTTCAGTGTTAATACCTTTAAGTGAATAAGTGACATCTAAATAAAATGTCCAGAGGACCATTGGTTTCTTTACTGAGAAGTGTCACAAATGCTCTTAGCTTCTAAAAAGCTGTGCTGTATATCTAACCTATAACTGACTCATCTTAGTTTGTCAGGTATCAGCACCACATTATATGGTGTAAAACTTTAAACTCTCCTCAACTTTCACCTGCTGCTTGACCATTCCTAGGTTAAAATATTTACTATATTGTGAAACCACTGATGCCTAGAACATGAGACAAGATGGGGATCCACTCATTAAAACCCCTTCTATGAGCTACTAGAGATTAAAAAAACAAAAAAATGTTGCAGGATGCCATTAAAACACATACTTTCTTATTACTATGTCACTGAAACACTGTTTGTTCCAGCCGCAGCTGTTATCACAGGCTTGGTTAAAATTTTGAAATATACTAAAACTGCTATTTTATGTGATATTGTAACTGAAGTCTCTGAAGTAAGAAGGAGCCGACTGTACAAGCGTGAGATCTCTGTTTACACATCTTTTCTACAACTGTTTGGGACAATAATGGAGGTCTATGGCACAGACAAATAAGCAAATAGTGATAGTAATCACTAGTCATTGCTGATGTCTGTGCAGAACATTGAGTCCAGACTGAAGGTGCTGCTCCCAGACGACGTTGGAGCTGCCCTAATGGATGGGGTTGTTCTTTGCCATTTAGCCAATCACATTTGTCCTCGCTCTGTTGCCAGCATCCATGTTCCATCGCCTGCAGTGGTAAGCACAAAAAAAGCCTTTTTGTTTGAAATCACAAGTGCTATAGAGTTATAAATACTTGATATAAAATAAACTTTTATTTGTGTAGTTAAATGACCTTACAGGTTCATGACACATTTGTTCTGATTTTAATTACTAACAATAATATTCTGCCTTCCAGCCAAAGCTTAGCATGGCTAAATGTCGTAGGAATGTGGAAAACTTCTTGGATGCCTGCAAGAAGCTGGGTGTGCCACAGGTAATAGATTTAACTGTCTGTTTCTCATTGATGAATTACAGTACTTAGTGTGGTTTTGGATAAAGCAGATGAAGATGGATGGATGGTATTTACCCAGCCCACACAGATAGTTCTGGTGTTTTTATCCAGGTATTAAGAAAGCTGTCACTGAAATTCTGCCATTACATTACAGTGGAGGTCAATAAAAATGTATATATGCTGCTGGTGCAGACGTTTCAGAGATAGATTTCTAAAAGCTACTACACCAAAACTGTCAGCATGACACCTGTGATAAGTCAGGAAGCCATACAGCAAACAGTCGGATTAAAAAGAATGTATGCTTTTATGGAGATAATGTAAATATCTGAAGTTTGGGGGCGGGACTTGGGCTGAGCCACACCTCTTCTGTTTTCACACGTAACCCACTCAAACCCCCATACTCCCGCTTCCGCTTTTCATCCCCCCATTCGTCCTTGGTAAGGGGAGGTCCCTGCTAGTGAAGTGACTTGAGTGAAGCTCCCTTTTAAAATGGATAGTATGTAAAGTCTCTGTTACAGAATATGAATGTGTGCTGTTATTGGAGTGCAGAAATCAGTGTTTCAGTTAGCTGCAAAGATACATGTGAATGGTCCATGTTTTCACAAAACAAACTATTAATCATGCACATAAGGATGTTTTCATAAAACATGACACAGTGACAATTTATGATGGTAAAGATCATAGAAATTCCACAGATTAACACAACCACAGCACATACAGCTAGAACAATCTGCATGGCTGAGGTCTTATAGAGGTAAGTGAGAAAATATGTTTTTTTGTAAATTGGGTGAATCAACCCTTGAAATAATGAGGGAGAGGACAATCTGTGTAACCCACATCTGTGTTTATTGCTCTGACTGTCAAGGATGTGTCTTTGCTAACTCAGGACAAGCTGTGTCTGCCCCATCACATCCTAGAGGAGCGTGGCCTGGTGAAGGTGGGTGTGACTGTCCAGGCTCTGCTGGATCTGTCCACATTGAAGCCCACACAACTGTCAGCTATTTGACATCAGCCTGAATGTTGCATCCAAAGCCTTGACACCAGGGACCAGAGAGCCCCTCTGGACAAGGGCCCAGTGGACATTGGCCCTTTGGGAGTCTGCTTCTGCCTGACTGAAAAAGGAGACTGGACAGTCTTTCTCCTAGTATGACGTCAGCTGCCCCCCACTGTCCATCACATTTTCACTTGTATCCTGTTCCTAGCTACTGAGGGAATCTTGTGTGTGGACTTGCAATGTGACTGTGTTTCCTAAATTGGATAGTTTGGACTTGCTGAGGAGAGACAAATAATGGGTCTATGGGAAGTCCTATGCATTCCTCTCAACGTGCTCAGTGATTAATGAGCCTGCAAGTGCCAGTAGGTTACTGACAAGATTTCCATGCTGGTGTTGGACACACTGGCAGTGAGGAGATAACAGATATGTAACTCACTCTTTCACTAGAGACCTAAGCTGATTGAGTTTTTTCCATGGGAATTAATTTTTGACTTTATTATAGTTATTTTTACATGGTTTGCATTATGTCCTTTCCTTATTACACTCAGCAACCAATCCTGATTCATAAAGCCGTTTTCAGATAGGATGCAGTAAGTGCTGCGCTCGACACGAGGGTTGTGCACGGGTGGGGTGGGGGGCAAATACATGCAACTCATGCACATGTTGGGCGCTAGTTGCTAGATAACCAAAAAGCTTTCCACAAGGTGGTTAGCAGATATTAATTAGCTTTTTGAGCAGCGGCCTTGGATGCACGACATATCTATCTACATGTCAGCAAATAGCTCTGGCTTTAGTTGTAGAAATGAAATGAACGGGTTTGATAGTGGAGTGCCGGGCCCACTGTGTCCTGTCTGAAAACGGCTTAAATAATGGGGATTTATTTTGCCAGGCGTTGCATGTGAACAAACGCATCCCCTCCTCTTTCTGAGAGACGAGATTTGATGTATTTTGGGAAGTCATCCTGCTGTAGACATTCAACCCATTTTCCATCAAGCTCTGGTGTGGTTTTAACTACTGTATAAATCACCCACTACTAGTTTTTTCTCAAACCTGCATGCTCCAGGGGAAGTGACATTGACCACTGTGACAACACAAACGTGGCCTAAAACATGATGGCCCTGTTTTGTAGCAGTTTTTCAATGTACATTCAAGGTTAAAAAAAAAACAAAACAATTCAAGCTTTCTGAAGCTTTTCTACTTTATTCTCAGTCATTACCAATTATCGCTGCCATTCTTGTGGGTTTGACACAACGGGGTTAGGATTTTATTGCTTTGCATTAACCATGGAAGAAGCATGTTTACACTGTGTATGGTCTCGGTGCTGCCTAGAGGCAATCACTCCGGCAAACCTTTCACATGTAGCATGGTCTTATCTTACTGCCAGACCACCCTGCTGGATGTGTTTCTGATACAATTCATTATTTCAGGGAAATGACCTTATTTACTGTTTATATGTATTCTTTTGTTTTATATGTATATGTTGGTGTTCTGTGTATCTTAACCCTGACTACGCATTGAACATTTAGACCTCACGCGTGTTTTCTGCGTGCTCCAGGTCGACATAATCTCTTTGTCACCAGAGGTTAGAAAATGACTCAAAAGTGGCTGTAAGCATAGCCACACTGTTCCACTGTGGATTAGTTGACATGCATTAGTGTCAGCTATCACACTTATTTTTATTGTTTTCAGTAGAACGTTTAGCAGTAATGGCAACATAAAATGTGAATGTACATAACAGACACTTGATTCTGTGGGAAACATTAAGCAAGAGGGGATCATGTTCACAGAGGCTGAATTTAGAGATTTTCTAACAAGAACAGTCTCAAAACGTTATGTGACAATATAACAGCATTGTCACACTGTTAAATTTCATTCTTTAATGTTTAACTGTATGTGTTGCTAGTTTCTTATTTATGGATGATTATTTCTTCAGGGCAATCTCAGTCTTCTTTTCAGGTAGTTGGCATATCTTGACTTACTTGGATAGAATTCCCTCAGGCAGCTGTGATGCACCATTCATTTTCTAATGAGGTCTCCAACATGTGAAAAAGCTTATAGCAGAAACTGAAGTAAAGCACATCATGAGTCAGTTATAGAACTTAAAGTGCCCATGGCTGCTCATTCCGCTCGTTTCCAGCCATTTAATGTTTAATCTTGGGTACCTCTAGATTAGCTTGGCACCCCTCTTAAACTCCAAATAGTCTGTAATTATTTCAGAATGATAAAACCAGAGAGCCTCTTCCTAAAAATGAGAAGATAGTTTGTGAAGTGCACAACTCTTGTTGCCGGTGTTGTGTCGGCAGTGGACAGCACAATGAACCGCAACGGCATTAATTTTAATTTCTCCTCCATAGATATGTAAACAGCGATATATGTACCAATGAAAAGAGATGTGTAACATTCTAAACCAAGCGAGTAATTGAGAAACCCCATATTTTAACTGGCATAATGCAGACATAGTAACTATGCAAATCCTTAAACTATCATGTAAGACTTAATTTTATTAGAAAAAATGTCTCATGAGCGAGTTTGCAAGACTTGTATAAACCAAGTTGCTTCTGCATAAAAGTATCAAAACATACAGATTTTTTGAGCTTTAGGTCACGTATAAGATGATAATTCACTGTTGTAACATTGTAGATAAGTCAGAAACAAGAAAAAGCATGCCATGGGCTCTTTAAACTCTGACTGAGTTAGTTACAGGTAAGAATGGCAACAGGGCTTTTTTAAGGCTCAGTAGCAGAAACTTCTGAGGACAACGGTGCCACTTCAAAACCTTTAAAGTCTACCATCAAGTCAAAGAGCACTGTAACATCTAAAAACATATTGTGCCTTAAAGGAGGGGAAGCTGCTTTTTCTGCAGTCTTATGTACAACCCCAAATCAGAAAAACGTGGGATGGTATGTAAAATCAAAATTAAAACTGAAAATAGATATCTGTAAATCAACTGTGTCCTGTATTAGATTGAAAACAGTACAGCAGCACATTATTTGATGTGATACCTCATCAATTTTATTCTTTGTTCCAAATAAACACTCACTTTAATTCTAATGCTGCAACACATTACAAAAAAAGTTGGGACAATAAAGTATTCACCATGATGTGATGTTGCCATTCCTTTTCAAAACACTTAAAAGGCGTTTAGGCACCTTCCTTTCAGTTTTAATTTAGTTTTAAAATACTGTCCCAACCTTGTCCAGCATGAATCTGTTTTCACTCTTTATCTTTTTGTATCTCATAGTACAACACTGCATGTCACATGATCTCTGGTTCTTCTGAATGGGCTGTGCCATCATATTCCAAAGAACTGGTGCCACCATATTCCAAAGAACTAGTGCCACCATATTCCAAAGAACTGGTGCCACAGGGCTTCCAGTTTATCAGGCCTTGAGTATATAAGCTGCACACGTCATTACAGAGTCTTATGTTTTCTTATGCAGAAAATTGCTGTGGAACTCTATGAATGACATCAGTGCACATTTGGTTAGCAGATGCTGTCTCCTGCTCTGTTATTGGGCCACAGTCATTGAAAAACAGTCCGTCTTTGCTACTACCTTCCTGCTGCTGCATCACAGTACAGCATTGACGCTATTCACAGCATTTACAGTACCATCATGAAAAGTGATCTTTTATTTTGAAGCTAGCAGATGTAAACATTTGAAAAACAAAGTGTAGCATGGATTTAGTCTTTATGTTAGCATTACAGCAAAGACATTGTTGCCGATGGTAGCATTTAATTTCCTATCATTTTTGTGTGTTTGTAATTACAGATCCACAGACACTGAAAATTTTGAAGTTATGTGTAACCTATCTAAGGTGTGCTACGTCAGATATCGGTTTTAATTCAGATACTTTTATGATCTGAAAATAAAAGTGGTCCCAGCTGCCTAAAAAGAGTGTTTTAAGACTTTAGCTAACAATGTCTGGCCATGACTTAACCATATGCATGGACTGCTGTTTTGCTATGTTAATGCATATAATTGTCTTGATTTTTCAAATGAGTGACCTTGCTTTAAGGGACAAAGTGAGGGGAAAGGTGCCAAGAAAAGAGTACAGCCTTGGGAATGAATGGGTTGTTGCACAAAAATAGAAAAAGATGTATGATAAAGAATATTTTGGGAAAGGAGAAAAGGGCAAACAGGGAAAAGAGTATTACCATCTGTTGAAAACAGCGTGAACTTACATGTAGTTGGTATATTCTTCATTAAATATAAACATGTAATAGTTTAATTTAGCACTTCTTCCACACAGTGTGATGGGAGTTGCATTCAGATCATCACACACCCTGGAAGCTTTTTGTCCTTGTAATGGTGGCATCTCAAAGCTGCCTTTTAGTGCACAGCCGTGGGACACTGGTGGAGATGCTAGACAGGACTGGCCCACTGATAACACACTGTATGTCTGGGCATATCTCCTTATGTGTTTTATTCAAGTGAATATCATCATTATGTGTTTAATCCTTGTGACTGTGACTGTTTTCGCTGTGCTCACTTGGATATAACTCCAGTGCAGTGTACTGAAAGTGTGGGGTTTCCCTTCCTTCCTGTGAGTCAACACCTCACTAGAGCGGTAACTCCTCTGTTGGTTTTGGAGGGCAGAACAACTGTGCTCTGTTTTCAGTGTAGCTATGTTGTCATGTCACCACACTGATACACTTGTTTTATCTGCAAACACTACCATTGTTAACCAAGCGCCAAGTGAGACGTTACAGACAGATATCTGCTGAAAGATGTCTGGCATCTAGCCCAAATAATGCATCACACATTTACACACACAGCTCCTGCTGGACCTGTACCAAGAATATTCAAACGGCTTGTGTAGTGACTTTCAAACTGAGTATAAAGTATTACATACAGTACGATTGTACATTTAGTAACAGTTGCTAAGCCTTTGTTTGAAGGATGGATACATCTTATTATTTTATGTAAAAACAACATCAGCAGCTACGGTCACTCCTAACTAATATTAGGCTTCAGCATTCTGAGTCAAACAGAACAACTGGGGATCATCTAAATGTGTAGTTGCTTTAGTACCAAATATTTTTATGTTTTGCTCCTAAGCTGTGGCAGAGAAAGAAAGAAGGAATTTCATACTAAAAAAAACTAACTCAGAAACTCCTACACATTACATTGAGCAGAAGCACTGTGGATTTTGGCCTCTCCCACTTACAGTGGAATCTTAATACAAAGGGATTTCTTGTTACTATGGACTGGAGGAGCATGTGAAAACTGTTTAAAGACCTTGTATCCTTTGAAGGATTTGCTCTGTTTGGAGGAGGTGGAAATCACAGTATGTGAAACTTCTGACATTCGAGAATAATTTCTTTTTGCCATTTTTTTTAATATAAATGTATGTGAACTAGTATTTCACCATAAGAACAGTCTAGTTCTGTATGATTTGGTCTGTTGTATAAAGTAGAGCATGAATCTGGCTGCATATTTCTGTCTGAACCCAACCAGTGTCTGAGAGTGTGGCATGCGAACCCGACTATGACCCGACAAACTTATAGTATATAATGTCCGAACCTGACCTGAGGTCGATGCAGTTTGGGTTTGCACAGTATTTTTCCCATTGTCATTAAATTAAGCTTACATTTGAGCGCTTCAGCTATCTAGCTTAAAGTATAACCTATGTGTCCGAACCAACCCGGACCCTTGGATATCAACAGGGCCTGTTGGGTAGCTGCACTCTAGTGCAAACCCAATCAAAAGTTAGGTTTCATTTTTATGTTTCTACAGATAGTGGTGCTGATCTAGTTTTTTTTTAATGTGTATATGATCATTTTATTGCACTAACTCAGTCGGTACCTTTAATTGATTCATGTGCCACGACGGCTAACAGGTCTTTGCTTGTTATGATTTAACACTTGTCATCTCTTCCAAAGAAAACAGTGAAACAGTGAGTCATGTCTAACCAGCACACTGCTGAGAAAATTCAGTTTTGCATATAGCATTTTGTATTTTAAAACATGTCAAATGCATGCAAAAATACCAGAACACTGAAGCTGAACCTGTGTACATATCATCTGTATAAATTCCAAGGTTTTCTTAAAAACAAATGTGGTCACTATATAAATAAAGTCAAATTCTTTGCAGCTTAATCTGCCATATCTTTATCACATGTGGTTGATGCACATTTATTATTGGGAATGCACCGGCTCATAAAGTGAATGACTGTAATTAGTGAATATCATGGAGCTGGTTTCCTTATAAGAGTCAGGCCAAAGTGCAAAATTAAAACAAACTGTGGGAATGTACTGTAATTACATATCAGTAGAAGTACAGAAAGACATGAGATGTAATGAATAAGGATCAGCAACCTATTTCCAAAACAGGAACATCGGTAAGTCAGAAGAGTAGAAACTATAAATGAGGTTTGCAGCTCTTCAGGGCAGACCTGTGTCTTCACTACTGACACTGTAAAACCACTTTGTGTCACATGACACCTGCGATGTTTGACTCATCCACAGAATACAGGCACACACATACACAAGCATGCACATGCCAAAAAACAAAAACATCCCAGGCTCCTGCTGGAATTTTTCCTTGGATGTTTGGCAGGGAACCCTGATAATTATCAGGTCTTATTAGATATCCCTAGTGTGTTTTGCCTCTTCTTTGTTTGTTTTCAAAAGTAAACTTTATTGTCTGAGCCTTTTAACACCTGAAGGAGAAGGTATCTATCAGAATACAAACCATGCAGACAGAACCACATGGACTGTCTGCAAAAGAAATGGACTTTATCTAACACTTCTGTTGTAGCACTGACCACCGGGCCAGACGTGCACAGCAAGTGGTATTTACATGATTTCATGAGAACTTTAGGGTCAAGACAATATTTTATTTAGGACCAAAATCTGTGACAAATGTAAATGGTCTTATACTTGTATAACACTTTTCTACGCTTTTACAGCACACTCAAAGCGCTTTCACACTACTCGGCCATTCACCCATTCACACTCCCAAACACTCACACCGGTGACATCACCTGGAGCAACCGGTTCAGTGTCTTGCTCAATGACACTTCGACATGTTGACTGGACACAGGCCCAGCCCTAACCAATTTGGCGCCCTAGGCAAGATTTCAGGTGGCGCCCCGTTGCATCGCAGTAAATTCCACTGCTAGTGTATATACTCATAAGAAACGTAATAGCTTTGTCTTGGACATTCTTTTATTTCAATAAAGCAATTGCACATTCAAAATACTTAGAAAGAATTAAAGAAACAAATACAAAAAAATGAAC